AAATCATTCTCACTTCCACCTAGAATCCTCACATCGCCTGCATCAACAACACTCACCCACACACCGATTCACACCATCATTCGGACTAGTCATCAACACCGCCAACAACACAGGTGGAACACTCACGCCAACATCTCCTGCTCACTCACTCACCCACTACCTCACACAAACACTCACACACACAGGCAGACAGACAAGCGCAATACACCAATCGAAACGTCGTCAACACACAACATCACAGACTCCACTCGTATCTCACTGCACAACTCCTAATGAACGTCATTGGACAAGCACACCTGTCATGTGCTGTGTCGAACAAGCCTGTCTCACACGGAACACCTGTCTTCACTGATTCACTCATCACTGATTTCGGTGATGACAGGAGACGCTGACGCGCCACACTTCGTCGATCGCCTCATTGAAACACACTATCACACAGCGCCAACACTCGAATCATGACCAATCTCATCTCATCCAGTCCCATCTCACCTCATCACTCCGATCGTCATCTTGTCTCATATATCGAGACGGACGAAATCTCACACACGTCAACACTTCTCATCAGACATACTGCCACACTCACTCTGACAGCCTCACACTACACTCCTGCACACATCATCACGCTCACTCATCCCTTGTCTTCTCCTCTCTTTTCTTGCAGGAGCTGGGCAAACAACAGCCAGCGGAGAGCCTTCAAGCACTACACCAGGGGACGACGACCTCTACATCTACTACATTGACAAGTCGGGCAAGAGAAGAAGACGGCCTCGACATGGACGTCGACCGGGAGACAAATCAACCGGACCCACCGACTCCCCAACACGTAAGTCTCACACGCAAATTCATCTCCATCTACACCTACACAAATCGACCATCCAAATCACGCTCCACACTCACATCGTTACAGCACTTCCTTGAGAGGAAGACGAAATCATTCTCACTTCCACCTAGAATCCTCACATCGCCTGCATCAACAACACTCACCCACACACCGATTCACACCATCATTCGGACTAGTCATCAACACCGCCAACAACACAGGTGGAACACTCACGCCAACATCTCCTGCTCACTCACTCACCCACTACCTCACACAAACACTCACACACACAGGCAGACAGACAAGCGCAATACACCAATCGAAACGTCGTCAACACACAACATCACAGACTCCACTCGTATCTCACCGCACAACTCCTAATGAACGTCATTGGACAAGCACACCTGTCATGTGCTGTGTCGAACAAGCCTGTCTCACACGGAACACCTGTCTTCACTGATTCACTCATCACTGATTTCGGTGATGACAGGAGACGCTGACGCGCCACACTTCGTCGATCGCCTCATTGAAACACACTATCACACAGCGCCAACACTCGAATCATGACCAATCTCATCTCATCCAGTCCCATCTCACCTCATCACTCCGATCGTCATCTTGTCTCATATATCGAGACGGACGAAATCTCACACACGTCAAAACTTCTCGTCAGACATACTGCCACACTCACTCTGACAGCCTCACACTACACTCCTGCACACATCATCACGCTCACTCATCCCTTGTCTTCTCCTCTCTTTTCTTGCAGGAGCTGGGCAAACAACAGCCAGCGGAGAGCCTTCAAGCACTACACCAGAGGACGACGACCTCTACATCTACTACATTGACAAGTCGGGCAAGAGAAGAAGACGGCCTCGACATGGACGTCGACCGGGAGACAAATCAACCGGACCCACCGACTCCCCAACACGTAAGTCTCACACGCAAATTCATCTCCATCTACACCTACACAAATCGACCATCCAAATCACGCTCCACACTCACATCGTTACAGCACTTCCTTGAGAGGAAGACGAAATCATTCTCACTTCCACCTAGAATCCTCACATCGCCTGCATCAACAACACTCACCCACACACCGATTCACACCATCATTCGGACTAGTCATCAACACCGCCAACAACACAGGTGGAACACTCACGCCAACATCTCCTGCTCACTCACTCACCCACTACCTCACACAAACACTCACACACACAGGCAGACAGACAAGCGCAATACACCAATCGAAACGTCGTCAACACACAACATCACAGACTCCACTCGTATCTCACTGCACAACTCCTAATGAACGTCATTGGACAAGCACACCTGTCATGTGCTGTGTCGAACAAGCCTGTCTCACACGGAACACCTGTCTTCAATGATTCACTCATCACTGATTTCGGTGATGACAGGAGACGCTGACGCGCCACACTTCGTCGATCGCCTCATTGAAACACACTATCACACAGCGCCAACACTCGAATCATGACCAATCTCATCTCATCCAGTCCCATCTCACCTCATCACTCCGATCGTCATCTTGTCTCATATATCGAGACGGACGAAATCTCACACACGTCAACACTTCTCATCAGACATACTGCCACACTCACTCTGACAGCCTCACACTACACTCCTGCACACATCATCACGCTCACTCATCCCTTGTCTTCTCCTCTCTTTTCTTGCAGGAGCTGGGCAAACAACAGCCAGCGGAGAGCCTTCAAGCACTACACCAGAGGACGACGACCTCTACATCTACTACATTGACAAGTCGGGCAAGAGAAGAAGACGGCCTCGACATGGACGTCGACCGGGAGACAAATCAACCGGACCCACCGACTCCCCAACACGTAAGTCTCACACGCAAATTCATCTCCATCTACACCTACACAAATCGACCATCCAAATCACGCTCCACACTCACATCGTTACAGCACTTCCTTGAGAGGAAGACGAAATCATTCTCACTTCCACCTAGAATCCTCACATCGCCTGCATCAACAACACTCACCCACACACCGATTCACACCATCATTCGGACTAGTCATCAACACCGCCAACAACACAGGTGGAACACTCACGCCAACATCTCCTGCTCACTCACTCACCCACTACCTCACACAAACACTCACACACACAGGCAGACAGACAAGCGCAATACACCAATCGAAACGTCGTCAACACACAACATCACAGACTCCACTCGTATCTCACCGCACAACTCCTAATGAACGTCATTGGACAAGCACACCTGTCATGTGCTGTGTCGAACAAGCCTGTCTCACACGGAACACCTGTCTTCACTGATTCACTCACCACTGATTTCGGTGATGACAGGAGACGCTGACGCGCCACACTTCGTCGATCGCCTCATTGAAACACACTATCACACAGCGCCAACACTCGAATCATGACCAATCTCATCTCATCCAGTCCCATCTCACCTCATCACTCCGATCGTCATCTTGTCTCATATATCGAGACGGACGAAATCTCACACACGTCAACACTTCTCATCAGACATACTGCCACACTCACTCTGACAGCCTCACACTACACTCCTGCACACATCATCACGCTCACTCATCCCTTGTCTTCTCCTCTCTTTTCTTGCAGGAGCTGGGCAAACAACAGCCAGCGGAGAGCCTTCAAGCACTACACCAGAGGACGACGACCTCTACATCTACTACATTGACAAGTCGGGCAAGAGAAGAAGACGGCCTCGACATGGACGTCGACCGGGAGACAAATCAACCGGACCCACCGACTCCCCAACACGTAAGTCTCACACGCAAATTCATCTCCATCTACACCTACACAAATCGACCATCCAAATCACGCTCCACACTCACATCGTTACAGCACTTCCTTGAGAGGAAGACGAAATCATTCTCACTTCCACCTAGAATCCTCACATCGCCTGCATCAACAACACTCACCCACACACCGATTCACACCATCATTCGGACTAGTCATCAACACCGCCAACAACACAGGTGGAACACTCACGCCAACATCTCCTGCTCACTCACTCACCCACTACCTCACAGCAACGGTCGCACCCGCACACCCGCCAGCTCACTTGCACGTATGACTTCGATATGATAGAGAAGATTTTTAGCTCAGGTGGATAATTTTGATGTGGTTTTGTTCTCTGAGCTGGATATTTACTTTGCGAAGTTTTCATCACCTTATTGGGTGACATCTTCAGCGCATACTTCAAATTGAATATTGAAAAATAAACCACTTATTTTATGTGTAGATAGAAAACCAAATAAAATATTCTTTCTTACCTTCTACATCGAGAAGTTAAGACATTCTGGTATATCACAACCCTTACTCCTGCAATTCGTCAACTCCCGCATTCTGCCTATTATTCTCTATTGTTCCCCCTTAGTTTTTCCTGGCCTGGCTACTAAAGAAAGACTATACCTTATTACGCAGGATGTTAAAGGTTGTCAGCGGGGTAAGCAATGTGCCACTTAACCAGCTTGTTGATATTCTGGTTGACAGGCACTTGGACTCATGTGAAAAATGGGCTGAATCCATTCTATCTAACTCACACCACCACCCTCTTCATTCACAACTCTCCCCTTGTATCTCATCAGGAATGACCAGAAGCCTGTATAGAAAACTATATGCTCGCACTGGCAAGTACGAAAACTCAACCACACCCTAAGTAGCACGTGTTCTGTGCGATAAAGAAAGCATTAGGCGTGATACCTATAGCTTATTAAATAGTCAGTAGAACAACTGGATCTCGTCTTTCCAACTCATATCATTTACGGGAACAACGTTTTCTTTCTTTCTTTTCCTTTTCGTTCTCTCTCTCTTTTGTTGTCCTTATGTGCTGCTTTGTTTACTTCTTCCGCTTACACTACTAAATATGCTATCATCTACTTTTCTAACACCTTCAAACACTCAGCTCAATTTTGGCTTTGCTACCGATATGCCAATATGTTGTTGTCATAATGAACTGAGATTACCCATAATCTATGTAGAGAATTTTATTTGTTGATAATGTACAAACTGGATGCAATATACTGTAGTGAAATGCTGAGAATTCCATTCTCTATCACAAGTACTGTTTTGGAATAAAACAAATTATTATTATTATTATTATTATTATTATTATTAAAAATGAACTGCCGGAAACATTTCACTTTTTATAATGATAACTTTTAGTTATTCTAAAATTTGAATAAATTTTTATCTCTTCATTTAGCTACCACTGATGAAATTGAATATTACGATGATTACTCAGATGAATTGACCACAATCAAACCAACACAACAACCAAAGAAAGTAAAACCAGTTGTGAAGAAAACACAAAATGAAATTAATCCATTAATGAAGAAAACAATTCAATATCGAGAAAAATCTCCATCTGGATCTAATGATGAATATTGTACGTGAAAATTTAAAGCTGTCATCATTTCTATTTTTCTTACCTGTTGAACACAATGGCAGTAGATTTTATATAAACTATTCCAATAAATAGTAGTCAGATTACAATTTATTTCTGATAGGTAGGAGGATGTCTACGAACTATTTAACAATAGCATAATATGAGGAATTTACCATATCCAACAGTATATTTAGTGGTACGTTCTCTTTGTGCACCGGGAAACTGCGGAACCTGAGGGTTGTATTTGCTTTAATAGTTGAGGGCTGTTAACCAATTGGCTCTTCATATTCTTCAGCATGTGTATTATCTTCCCTTCAATTTGTTCTATTTGATCTTTCTGGTTACTTTGTTTTGAAAAAATTTGTTTTCATCTGACATAACGGATAACAGTTTATCGATGTAGTCTTGGCGATTCATCAGGACGATGCCGGCACTTTTGTCGGGGCAGGTTAGAACCAAGTCTTTGTTCCTTAAAGTGTTATATCCGACATGTCAGATGAAAACAATCATTCCGGTTACAAGGCAAGCTTGTGTACCATTCATTCACTAAGATCCAATTCAATGGCTAGCCAAGGGATTCTAACTTCTACCAATTCGTGATTTTTAAGGCGACTACCAACCAATGTCATCGATGGGAAATCCATCCTCACTCCTGACGATGAAACAGCTGTCCAGTACTCTCAGCTGGTTTCCAATGGTTCTCTTATTGATATTTTGCTTTCATCTACAGTGGAATGTGAACGAACACATTTTACATGCTCATTTATTGATCTTATATGTTATATAATCGGCGAAAAGACAAATGATTTCACTAAGGTTGAATATTTATCAGTAATAAGCTATATATAATACATGTAAATGTTTGAAGTTTAATTCATTAAACATTTTAGCATAAAAATTTATAATTGTCTGCCATTCATTCACAATTTGTATTTCAAATTCTTTCAACTAAATGTTTTTAATATATATATATATCCTTTTCTTTATTTCAGATGATGATGAAATTATTGAAACAACATGGGTTGTTAAATTGGGTAACAAGAATGTAACTGATAAAGATTTACTCAACTACATCAATAAAGAAACAAATATTGAAGAACTTTTCAGAAATAGTCTGAAAGACAACTCCAACAATAGTGATTGTAAGTGTGATAATGTATAGTAGATAGAATATTAGACTTTTCTTCTCTTTCTTTATGTTTTTTCTTTAGTTACGTAGCTAGTACAAAAACAAATTAAACAGAAATTAAGTATATTTTTGGTTACAGGATTTCATCATGAGATGACATCGGTTTTTTTAGTTGTTTTTTTTTATTACAGCCTGATTTCACACCGTATTTTTGGTACATGTGTGGAATTGTCAGCATGTGATATCGGTAGCCCAAATTTTCCAGTCCGACCATTGATATCAGGTGTGCGTCGGCAGGGGATCAAACCCGTGATCATGTGCATAGTCGACGAGAGTCCTAACCACTGTGCTACTGACGCACACAGCAGGGAGTACTAGAGAGTTGAACCGTTAGCCTAGTTTGGGTTTCTTCATCAGTGCGTACCCACCACAGGGGTTAAAACCCAGCAGCTTCTGCTTACAAGGCAAGCTAGCCCTTAGACCATTGAACCACTGGGACCCGCCTGATCCAATGTCCAGTTCATGAATTCCAACTTCTGTCAATTCATGAAATAGAGTGACCACTAGCCAATATCTTTGATGAGTATTTGTCCTCACACCCGACCTGCTGTACCCCACCGGTCATGACTTCTCACTAGAATCCCCCGTTAACTACCTACCTCAACAGGGCCAAATGCCAGTGAGAATCACATTGATATTCAAATATTGATTTTTGTGGAGATTTAACTGATTGATGGTCGGTCACAGGACTTCATTATGAGCTGACATCGATTAGAGAACCATTTGTTTGCCTAAAACAGATTATAATTGTTTAATGTTAATGGAAACATCTTACAAGGAATGCAATAATGAGTTGATTAATTTATGGATAATACGATTTATACAAATTATCAAGCTAAACATATTCGTCTTTCCTAATGATTTCATGTGCGTCGGTGGTATAGCGGTTAGGACGCTCGCCGACCATGCACGTGGTCCGGGGTTCGATCTCCGGCCGACAAGGCACTCCTTTAGTCGCTGAGCCAGAAATAATCCTGGTAAAGAGGAAAGGTTGGGCATGAGGCTAGCAACCCCATACTGTAAAATAAACGCTGCTACAGAAACTTTGATGAAAAGCTCTAGACTAGGAAGTAACAGTTGTGTAGCAATTTATTTTTTTGGTTTTCTATGATATTTTCTGTTTGATGTTATTTCATGGTGAAGTTTACCTAGAAAGTAATTGTTATGTACTCGTCGAGTAGCTAATAGTCCTGACGCGGAAAGAGGGAAATCAGAAGACCACCAGGTTTACGATGATACTTGTATTTTCCAGACAAGGAAAATAAATATCACACAAGTGTGTGAGTGGAATGCTACGTACGTACGAACGTGAGAACAAGAATGTAATACAGAAGTATATATGAAAATGGCTAATACACATGAACCAATCAATAGCCAGTCTTAACATGATTGGTTGTAATGTTATGTGACAACAAGGTCATACATGTTTATTTAGTTAGTGGACGGACAAGAGCATATTGTCAGTTATGATGAAATATCGATCCGTATACACATGGCGAAATATAATAGACTGTCAAAAACAAAACACACGTCATTTGGATACATATCAGTAATCACATTTTTGCACATAAAATAATTGTAGCATTAGCTTCATTCATTTTCATTGAAAATTCATTATACCAATTATATGCTAAATTATACAATCGGCTGCAACCAAATGAATGGTAATATGAATCATAATGTAAGTGTAGTGAACTTCGGCACTGTGGTCGAATGTAATTCCATATTTGGATAAGTTGATTTTTAAATATCACACAGTGATGCAGTATTATTAACTGGATGACAAGGTTTCCAGCATATATAATCGGGCCGAGTGCCTAGCTAGTAAGCCAGAAGATTTAAATAATGAAAGTAACCAAATAAAGGAAATATTACCAGTGAATAACTACCCACCAGAATTTATTCAGAAATATATGCAGAACCATAGAAAAACTAAGGTTAGTAAAAAAAACTGACAAAAACAAAATAGAATTCAAAGCCTCTGTAGTATTACCATACAAAGAAGGAACGTCAAAGGCCTTACGTAGGATTATCAACGAGACTTGAATTAGTCAGGGTGGCATTTAAACCAACCAACCAACGCTTTCATAGATAAAATTTGTTCGCTTAAGGAACCAACAGATCCAATTAAAGGAAATAATATAATTTACCAAGTACCATGTAATGACCGTGAGGTCAAACAAATAGATCAGGGTCAACTAAATTATGAGAAACGTAATAATTTAGCTGGATCTAGAATGATTGACTCGGGTAAGTTAAATAATCTAGAAAAAAGCTCAGTCACTGCATTACATCCACTTGATTGTGATCACAAAATAGGGTTGGTGGGACAAGGTGAGAGTATTAAAAGTAATAAAATGAAGTGGAGTGATAGAGAGGTTAATCACTGAAGCTTGGTTTATCTATTCAAAACCCCACACGTGCAATCGGAATGACACAACGTCTATTGCCGGAGATATGGAGATATGGTGGAGATGGTAGGTACAAGTGATACAAGATATTCCTCGCATAAAATACACAAATATCGAAAGTGAACAAAAAAAATATTCTTTTCGCTAGATATCATTTTAAAGCACAAATAAAGCATAAATCGGTTCAATTGAATTAAACTAATATAACTATTATTATTATTTCTCTACAGATAAATATGATAGTGAAACACTAACATCATTGTTTACTGTACCTAAGACAGTAAAACTCAGTAATAAAACGATTGACCAATTTTTGGATAAGGATACTGATTTAGACGGTATGCTGAAAACATATTTCCCAATGGAAAAAACTACAAAACGCCCAAGTAAGTAACATTTACCAAGGTTATTTGACTACAGCTGATAATGTATATATACAGAGAGAAAGAGGGAGGGAGAATATTCACCTTATCTTTTGGTCGGATAACAAACGCTTCACAACATTCACAGATCTTATGTAACTCGAGGAGACAAGAGACTTGGTAAAGGACGTTTTTATGATTAGGGGGAAAAACACACCACATTTATATACATTTTCTTTACCATAATAAAGTCGACTCATAACCGTGAGAATGAATTGTCCTCATCCTCTGGAAATGGTTATTCTCATTGGTTGGCGATCCGACAAATACCAAGGTGGGACAAAAGACGATGAATAGATGACAAGCTAAACCACAGTATGCGTGAGAAATGATACATTCAGATAGTAACTCCATCACACGGATGACATACTATTTAATGTTGGGTCCTATCAATAAGCCACGCCCTAAGGTGTGTCTGGTTAGGGTCTTCAGGATGGTAGAAACCAGTGGCTGGAGACAATTCGTGATATGGCTGAAAATCGTTCTCAATGGCTCACATACCTTGAATCTTTGTGATTTACCATGCCCAATAAAACTCTATTGTTCTTCCATATTACTATTCTTTTTGTCTCGTATTTCTGTTTATTATCTCTCTCTTGAATCTCCGCTTACTCTCTTCTCTTGCTTTTTATGCTACACGGAGTGTGGTAATTCGGACTGCTGCTCATCTGTGCAAAGTTCTATGTTGAAAACAGTTAGTCAGTCAGTCAGTTTCTAAACTCGTCCATTTTCCGAGGGTTAGACCTTGAGACAAAAAGTTGCCCAATGAGATTATCTCCTGACTACAATGTAAATAAACTAAACTCCAATTTGAGGAATGAACACTCCTATCTCTGCAGCTGCTGACTTAAAATGTTCTCAATTTCGACTGCCTCATATCAACCTGCGCCTATATACTACTGGTAGATCTTGTCAGTAGCACTTGCTAAGGTTATACCTATGATTAACAGTTTTCTACATTTGTGTTATTCTATTGACTTTCTTATATGTGATAGGTTAATTAATTAAGAGATTAGGCAATCATTTTTATTTTATTCATTAACTTTCCTACATTTAACTCTATTTAAAAACTGTTCCTCATGTTAAAACTTCTATAATTGCAATATACCCCTACATAGAGAGGTAGTTTATTAACTGCCAACAGATTGACAACATCTATACGGATATTTTTTGTTTGATTCTTAAAATTATGTTTTTTTTAATGAAATTCGCTAATTAATTAAAATATAATAGCTTCGCTTAACTTCCTGAAAGATTGAAGTTAAATTAAGTAGTAATCCCCTGGTTCGTTTCATGTTACTTTCAATATTTCTGAACTTTCAAGTGTTGGTTTGTAGGGATTTGATTGGTTTCGGGATTTCATCATGAGCTGACATTAGTTAGAGAAGCATTGGAAAACCTCGGAGTACTGGACAACTGTTTCGTCCTAGTTTGGGACTCTTCATAAGTACGCACCCACCTCACCCTGATAATGTTTGGGTTACCTAGCCTGTCATATGCTCTGGTGGTGTTCTCGTGACTTTTGTTGCCAGATCTGCCAAGGGCGATGGGATAGTACGCGACCTTATGGTTGTGTGCAAGGTTTGAAGAAGGCTGTGTGGTATATGCATGCGCCTCGCCCTAATAATGTTTACCGGAAGGTCCTGGGTTCGAATCCCGGTGGGTGCGTACTGATTAATAGTCCCAAACTAGGACGAAACAGCTGTCCAGTATTTCTGAATTTTCTTCAACAATATTTAACAATCCTCTATTTGATCACAATGACAAAATCTAGACTACTATTATCCATACTGAAGTGTGTAAATTTGTATATTAATAAGTTCAGGTGAATTTTATTGCTTTTGAAGCATCTGAAAATATTCTTTTCTCGTGAGATTAGCTGTTTTTTTCTCCTAAAATAATTCAATTGGTGGATGATGACTAATAGTGGAATTCGGAATGCGCATTTCATCAGATTTGGGACTCGTCATCTGGATGTACACCTGCATTTCCCAGTGAGTGAAGGTGTTCCCGGTGAGGCCAAAAAATCCAGTGTCCCACAGTTTCAAACGCCAAAGAGTTATCCACTAGACCATGAAACCGAGCACATTGGTCCAGTCATTCAACAGGAAGATCGGAAATGAATTCAATAATTACTGATACCTGTTGCATAAGAGATGGCTGTCGTGGCCCAAGCAGTCTAGTGGCTAACGCTGTGGCGTTTGAAACTACGGGTACTGGGTTCGAGCCTCAATGGGAACATCATCACTCACTGGGGAGTACAGGTACATCCAGATAATGAGTTCCAAATAGGACGACATGTTCATAGCCTGGATTCCACTGCTAGTCACCATCCACTAATTAATTGACTTCAAATTACACGACCAGACGTCGTCAAAGCATCTGCACAAAGAGCCGACATGTGAACCTGAGACCAAACACTTTGGTCAAATCGCAGAAAAAAACTTGGTACAATATGATACCAAGAAAGATGCGCTAAACTAAATTTTATTTGTTGTGTGACGGCTGAGATACTGCCCGGGCGCCCAGACCGAAGCAGGTGGTTTTCTTAAGAGACCACCCCCCGAGCCTTTGACTTGGAGTCTAATCCGCAAGGCAGCGGAGCAGCGTCAGGAGCTGCATTCCCATGGCCGCCGGTAACCCATATGGGTTCATACACCATTTGATTCCATTGGATTCTGGAGCCCATGAACCCCATGGTAACTGCTTTTAGTCTAACCGCTATCCAGACAACCTTCCTGACATGGTAGGACCTGCAGGGATATGAGTCCCAGGCAGTTTAGTTTGTTGGGTCACAGCGGTATTCAAGCCCCACCACCACGACAAGGTAGCAGTTGTCGGCCAACGACGAGAAAATCTAAATTGAATTAAACAAAATAATTCAAGGTTGAAAATGCATGGTCGTGGATACTACTGACTGGCTTGATATGAGTAGTTGGATGCCTACCTCACACATCAACCAGTAGTGCTTGATAACCAAATCGAAGTAATCAATAGTATATATGGTGTCAACCAGTTATGCTTCCCTTCTCGACTGTCATTTATGGTATCAAGTCGACGATCACATATGATATGATCTGAATAATTTCGATTGCCAAAAGAAACTCTAGTGTGGCTGCACCCCGAATTAACTGTATAAACTAAATATGGTAAAAATGCTATTACCTAAACTTTTTTGAAAGTTATGGAAAGACTTATTTTACTTAATCTTGAACCCTCTTTAAAGCCTTTCAATGACCCCAAACAGTTTGCTTATGAACATAGTAGGCGTACCTTAGATGCCGCTGTTGTCCTACATCATAATATAGTCTCTAGTTTAGATAGAGGAGCTAAATACGTCCGGTGTGCCTTCCTTGATTACACATCTGCATTTGACTCTGTTCCCAGGTCTCCCTTGCTAAGCAAGTTTGCTACAACACATGCTGAGAGCTGGACAAATAAGTGGCTGCATTCCTATTTTTCTGATAGGAAGCAGTACACCGTCTACAATGGAAAGTCCTCCACTACCTCACTTACTTTAGCTGGTGTTCCTCAAGGTGCTGTTCTTTCTCCTTTTCTGTTTTCCTTTTTCTTACATGACTTCCCCCATTCTGATGTAGCCACTTTTGTTAAGTATGCTGATGACCTCTCTGTTTCTATGCCTGTCAACTCTCAGTCAGATTGTTCCAAATTAAATAACTTTCTGTCAGAAATTAGTCAGTGGTCCTCTTCAAACGGTCTTAAGCTGAATCCGTCTAAATGTCAGGTCGTCAATTTCACTTTCAGACGTAAACGTGACCTACAACAACTAGCTAGTTCACATAGCCCCCCTATCATTGACGGCATAGAGGTTGAAAATACATCTAATGTCAAGTACCTTGGGCTGAGTATTTCCACCGATCTTTCCTGGTCCTCCCACATCTTGCTAGTTACTAGAAAGATGTTTCGCTTAACGTTCTACGTTAGGAAGTTTCTCAGTTTGTAAATTCTTGTATTCTACCCATCCCTCTTTACTGCTCCCCATTAATCTTTCCTGGACTACTTAAGAAAGACTTTGCTTTGCTGAGAAGGGCACCAAAAGCCGTTATTAGGGTAAGTGGGATATCATTAAACCAACTGGTTAACACTATTGTGGATACACATATAATGTCATGTAAGAAACTAGTGAATACAATATTGTCAGACTCCGAGCATCCTCTCTATACGCAGCTGTCTCCTTGCATTTCATCTGGTAGAACTAGAAGCAGCTATAGGCGGATATGTGCTAGGACCACAGAATACAAAAACTCCACAATACCTACCATATCTGGCACAGCTGTTATGTGATAAGAAATCCGTTAGGTATGACACGATCAACTTACTGCAGCATTCTAACAAATAGTCCCATTAGCTTTTGTTTTCCTTTCTTCGTTACTATTACACTGTTGTTCTCATCTTCTATTACACACCAATTTTATATTTCATATCTTGTGATGCAGTGTTTAAAATGTAAACGCAACGCTGTTCTTTTTATTTTTTATCTATTTTTTTTATATTTTAAAATCTTATAAATTTATGAGGTAATTAGATGCAATATATTGTAATGCACGCTGAAAATTCCATACCCGTACCACAAATACTATTTGGAATAAAGCTATTATTATTATTGTTAATATTATTGAGAATTTGATTTCAATTGAAAATGCTGTTTCTAATTTCCTCACACTCATTCTTTAATCAAGTTGAAGTCATATCGAAAACATTTTGGTTCTCCAAAGATTTTGACGACCAAATAGAAAATTTGGGTATTACTAAAGTCTTAAAAAGTTCAAAAGACTTCAAGAAAATTTTAAATGACCATAGCAATTCCTCTTCATCTACTGAAAGTAAGTTATTTTAACATATAAAAAAAATTTGTATATCTATTTTTTTTTTGGTACATGAATTTAAGTTTAAACTTATGCATAGAAGGAAATAATAATTTATTGATGATAGTCATAGTAACAAAAACTATTCAAGTTTCTGTTTTATTCTAGGTAGCCAGTAGTTATCCTGAATTCATTTCTTTGTTTTAGAAAAAGAGATATTGTGTGTGTGTGTGTGTGTGTAAGTAAGAGTGAAAAGTTTCCCACCTCCATAACTTATTCCCTTGAATTATTTCACCCCTAAGGAGTAATTCTGTACACGGATAGATGGAAAAAATTTGTCTACTTAAAACTAGCTTTCTTAAAGAATATAATATAGTTATCTAACAATATTTCACGCCTTTACCATGGGATGCATACACAGGAACTAGGTGTTAGAGGCTTGAAGATTCGGTAGTAGTTGTGTTTTATTTTTACGGGATGGGGTTGTTAGCCTCATGGCCAACCTTCCTGTTATGTACTCGTCGAGTAGTTAATAGTCCTGACGCGAAAAGAGGGAAATCAGAAGACCACCAGGTTTACGATGATACTTGTATTTTCCAGACAAGGAAAATAAATGTCACACAAGTGTGTCAGTGGAATGCTACGTACGTACGAACGTGAGAACAAGAATGTAATACAGAAGTATATATGAAAATGACTTATACACATGAACCAATAAATAGCCAGTCTTAACATGATTGGTTGTAATGTCATGTGACAACAAGGTCATACATGTTTATTTAGTTAGTGGACAAACAAAAGCATATTGTCAGTTATGATGAAATATCGACCCGTATACACATAGCAAAATATAATAGACTGTCAAAAACAAAACACACGTCATATGGATATATACCACTTCCCTCTTTACCAGTCTTATTACTGGCTTAGCAAGGTAAGGCAAAGGAGTGTGTCATCGACCGGGGTATCAAATTTTGAACCACCTGCGTGATTGGTTAGGGGGTAATCCTACCGACGTGCCATCGACCTATTCAGTTCATTACTTCATATATGTATACATATTCGAATAAATCTTATTCTCTGAAATGGAGTTTAAGTATACGAATTGACTACACTATGGCAGATTTATTTCTTTGGTTTGCACATTTTAATGAAAGACATTCACAAAGACAAAAAATACAAAGTAAAAACAAGTTTTAGAATGAAAAATTAATCTGATATACATACAAGTCTCCTGTTTCACATAATTATCTAGTTTACCCTATATTCGTATTTACAGGTTACACTTATGATTCAGAAGGCGAAGTAATCGAGGAATAAAACTTGACGAATTTTCTTTTGTTTTTAAATAACACATTCTTTTTATTTAAACGAATATTCAAAGAATAAAAGGCTTTTGGTAATAAATTCATTCTTAATAAAGTATGTGGTTGTTTTTCCTTTTATAAACTATCAAAGCGATATGATTTTATAAATTTCGTAGCAATGATGAAAAACGAAGACTATCATCATCACTTTAAACAGGAGTTTTGTGCACAACAAAAGCATTTAGTAATTTTATTATTTATTTATTTAAACGCAGAAAAATTTGGTACAATATGGCACCAAGAGAGATGCGCCACACAATAATAATAAAACAACTTAGATTCAAAGTAAAAGTATAAGTAGAGAACGGATAGAGAACTTCATCTGGAAGGAAAACAGGCATATTTAATAAGTCCAAACAGCATTCGTCAATTATCGTCGGAAAGGCAAGAAAGAACTTACAGTACAGTAAAATAAAGTACGTTTGCCACTGACTGTGATTATGGACCATATCTGATAACGTTCCGAGCCACTGATTCGAGATATCTCTCGGAACTTAACCAGGAAGCCATGACGCACCAACTGATGTTGATCTAGCAAAAATATCCTTCATCCCACGACGCCACTTCACGGACTGACTACCTCGCCACTTTTTCCGTCCCGTCCAAGGTCTAGCAAACAGAGGCCGGTACGGAAGTCTCTGGGATGACATTCACAGCATATATTCAGTCCACCGAAGCCGGTGTTTCCAGGCGATAACACTCAACGAATGTTGACCTCCACTGTGTCCAAACACGCACTGCCGACCTCAGAATTACACACGCAATGATGCCATCGAACGCAAGCAATCCTGCGGAGACAGTGATGATCGAACACGCAGAAACGCCGCACATCCTCAGCTCGGAGAGGCCAGGTTTTACAGGTGTAGAGCAGGACAGCCCGCACCGAAGCACTGTATACCCGACCTTTGACAGCCAGGCTGACGTCACGACGGCGTCAGAGATGGCTCGATTTGATGTATGCCACCGTAGCCTTTATGTTACGGTTAGAAACCTCATCCGTCACCCCTCCGTCAGACTCACATAACTACCCAGATAAACAAACTTAGCAACAATTTTAAGTGGTTCACCTTCAAGAGTGACTGCAGGTACAGGCTCCTGCCAATCTTGTAAAAGTATTTTGCAGACGGCGCAAATCCCATACCATACTTACAGACAGTGACCGTCAACTGATTAGGTGCGATTCGAGCAGCCTGCATGCTATCACAAGCGCTTTTTTCACCTTCCTATTGAGTGGCTTACTTCATTTACATTCCAATTACGTAAATGAAATCATCCATGCAATAATATAAATTTTCCAGCCGTACTTCTCCTACCTCAATAGCAGCGATTGACCATGTTCAGCCACAATATTTGATTATTGCTGCTCACTGGTCAGTGATAGCAGTGTTGCACGCTCTACTACCACTACTGTAGGCAAGAAAAGACCGATGAAGCTTGAAAGAATGTTCATTAGGACACACTTACTGTAAATACATAAATTTTTTCTATTTTCTATTTCTTTACGTTCCCTGTGGAACATAGGGTACCTTCAAGCTAGAGACTTGAAGTTTCTGTAGCAGAGGTACTCATTTTTACGGAATGGGGTTGCTAGCCTCATGCCCAACCTTCCCTCCTTACCAGTCTTATTACTGGTTTAGGAAGGTAAATGAGTACACCAGCTGGGAGTCAAACCCCGGACCATGTGAGTAGTCGGCAAGCATTCTACCGCTGTGCCAACGACGCACACACAAATTTGGTATACCATATCTCCAATGTTTTATTTGAACATCATTTGCAAATCGGTCGAATATCACCACATTCGACAGCTTGTTGGATTCTGCACAGTCTTTCTAACGTTCTTCTCGGAGTTCTGTTCTTCGATTGCTTTTTTCAGTGTCCAAAACATATTGTTGCTTTTCTGAAATCGTCTACTGATATACCACTTATAGATGATTATAAGTAGCACTCACTACTAGAATAAACTGATTCCCACCTGATGTCTGACATAACTTCCTCGTTACATGCAGAGATCATAAATCGCATATCATCACTCAAATTGAATGCACCGATTGTATTTCACTAAATGACAATACTGCGCGAGTAGTCATGGCATAATTTGTAATAGCCTGTTTCACTCATCGAATGTATGCAATTCGCCTCAAGAGGACGTGTATTCATCCTGCCAACATCACACTAGAAATTTCAGTGCATACACCCTATAAAAAGTTTAAAAAACACGCCCCCATCAGATGAAACTCAGGAATTCCCATCCAGTATGTTAAAAAATTGCCGATGAAAATAATTGATGACTTACACTTAATAAGCACTGCTGTCTTACCAGAACTAATTTACGCAAGGAGATACATAACGCTGGTCTCCAAAACTGACGATGAACAACTTAGCCAAACGTAAGCTGACTATACTTTTTCCTAATACAATGATGGGTGACGGAAGCTGACGAAAAGACATCAACATTGGGTAATATGGGCCGGTCACGAAGATCCCCTATACAGAAGGCATACTGAGTAAAACTATATCCAAGCAGGACGGCAAATCAGTAAATTCCTTGCGCCACATGGATAGGACATTTGTCAGAGGACTTCGGAGTTTAACTGAAGACCAACTTTGATAAATATCGATCTTCTGGATGAATGGGGTGCATATAATAATTTTCTTCATTCAGTTCTATCTGATATTGAAAAAACTGCACCATTGAAAGGTACAGTCAAAAATCAGAACCAAACGGTTAGACGATAAAAGTTTAAAAAAGACCGCCACACTTTGATAAGTCCTGAAATACATGAGTTCCTTCAACGTTGAGGATACTCCTTACTGTCGAGTACTAACAAACACGAAATCTTGGTCCACAACTTCCTGTCTATTACCTGCAAACATCAAGAAGACAGACTTAGCATCGTTGACCTAAAACAGCTATTTAGCTTTACCATCTGAGGAATGGAATATCCAACAGGAGAGGTTATTGACTGAGAGCACACGGATAATAGATAGTCTTATTGGAAGATATGCCGAGTTTATCTTTCTCAGCTGAAAATCGTTTCAAATAATCTGAAATATGCTGTCGACCACGAATCCCAACGCAAACCATTGTTGCAAAGTAATGAAGCATTTCCTAATGTTTCGGTGTACATTAAACATACTATATATATATATATATATATATATATATATATATATATATATATATATATATATATATGACCCCCAAACTATTACTCTTTACTAAGCTTTTTTTAAGCAATATCAAAGGTAAATTCTTACAGTAAAACAGTAGCATCTCTCTACACTAAATGATAATCGAAAAAGAGATAATAAATGAATAAATAAATATAATAAGCATAGATCGAGGAAATAACAACAACAACTCGTACAGAGAATCGCGACGACGCTAACAGTGATGTGAAAGGCAGAAAATGTGCTTGTATGTTCATGTATGTGCTTGTATGTATGCATAAGGAAGAAGAAGACATTCATACTGTATCTCAAAAGCTTAACCAACTACTAAATGTAAAAGATAGATGAAAAAGACACTACTACAAAAATTCATTACCTGAGATATAAATATGCAGCACTTGTTTTTTTTTGCAAATTACTGAAGAGGTGTACACACACACACGCACACACATACATCCTTATAACTAATACGCAAAGCAGACTGGATTCAGACACAAAAAATGAATAAATTCGACGTTGTAGAGATTATCCTCTTACCAGGTACCAGGCCAAAAAAAAATAATAATAAATAAGGTCAGTAGAGCAGGAGAAGAATATTTCTTGTGAAATAAGTACAGTGAGAAAATGAGACTACTATTACTCAAACAGGTATAGAGTAAATGAAATAACACAGATCTTATAGCAGCGCGATAATATAACACACAAACGAGATTCAATTTAACTATAGAGAATATTACTTTGAAAGAGAGAAAAATAAAGCCAAGGAAAGTGAAACACTACCTAATCTAATTCAAGCGTAATAATGTGTGCATGAATATCTTTCATAAACAATAAGTATAAATAAATGAATAAATATTGTGAAATATGTATGTAATATATATATGCGCGATTGGGGTAGTAAATAAGAAATCAATAATAAAAGTAACAAGTAAGATAACAGTAATGAACAGAACAAATAGTAATTCTCAATATTCATCAATCTGTAATATTATCCAAATCAAAAGAATTCTGAATTTCATAAAAACAAGCATTGACATCAGGCGGTTGATGACTCCAAACAGTTGAAGGAAGATCTAAATCTTGTAAAGGTGTCCATTTGTAACCCAAATTGCGTGACATCTGACAACAAAATATACAACAAAAAAGGCGGAATAGGTAAGAGAGTTGACGAAACTAGTGGGTTTATTTGTACAATAATAAAATGAGCCCAAGAATTGAGCTCTTGGTCTAGTTTCTCCATTTTCCCGACCGAAAGCTGCTACCTTGATATGGTGGTCAGGCTTGAACACCGCAATGACCTAATCAAGCTATACTGGCTGAGACTTATGTCTCTTGAGGTCCTACCATGCCAGAAAGGTTGTTTGGATAGCGGTTAGACAAAAAGCAGCTACCCTATCCAGTACTATGATTCAAACAAATTCACAAAATATCATGCCGGATCGGTCGGGCCCGGATTAACAACGACCGCGCCTCCTGCTGCCGTGTCACAGGGCAGGAGTGATAAATATGCTACTGAGGCACATCAAACAAAAAGGAACAGACAAAAACAGGCCGCGTGTGACCGGCCTCAAGCGGTTGTCCCCTGGGCTCTGCGGTCACGCAACCAACTTCCACGGTGTGGGCAGCCGGGAAGTAACAATCGCTCTCACAATCCAAAAATTTCTCCATTTATCAACTATATTTCAAAAGAGAAACTAGGCTAACCAAATAGCTCAATTGTTTAGCTGATTGTTCTTACACACTGTTCTGCATCAAATAGAGAAATATTCTAAAATGAAGTCATGCCATTCTAAATGTTTCTACCTATATTTCTTGTTCACAGAGAAAGCTTTCGCAACACAGAAAAGAAACCTGAACCGATTATACAGAAGCGGTTTGTACAATCCCTTCTACTTAATGATATTATTAGATAGTTGGAGGCAATCGGCCACAGGAAGCCTTGGACCTAGGTTTCGTGTTAGTTGGCACTCGTTAACAAGGCGCATCTGCAACCTTGAAGGAACTCATTTCCAATCTGAGATTCGAACCCGCCACTGAGCTATTCGCGCTCGCAATTGACCTCCTCTGTAGGACTGTAGTGGGTATTTTGATTGGACACTAGTAACTAGTGTTCAAATACTTGATATAATAATTTTCGGCTTACACAACATTTTCATAGGTAGTGTATCTTTATTTGTATTTTCCGAACTGCTAACTATACAAAATACATACATACAGACATAAATATTCTGAATCTTTTCATAACACACTTATTTGGCAAAACACACACCTGGTACATTATGGGCACGAAGAGATGCGTCACACTTTGTACTGCCTGAGCACCCTGACTGAATCAGATGGTTACCTTAAGAGGCTACACTCCACTACCCCAAGCCTTTAACTTGAATTCTAGTAGACAAAGCAACAGACCAGCGCTAGGAGCTACAACTCTACGATTGTCAGTGACCGAAACAGCTCCATACACCATTTGACCCAATCCGATTGTGGAGCCCCTTAATAGACGTGCATGTCTCCCAATCCAGTTGTAAGTGGCAGACATTCGTATTCGCCCTTTCACTTTTGTGAGGGGCACCGTCGTTGCGTGAAGCCAGTGAGTAGGATTTAGCTGGCAGAGTCTATGAACTTGTGGTCACATGGGATCGTTTCGAGAGGAAGACGTAAGTCTACCTATCCTCAACCGTACTAGGTCGTTTATGGGAACTCCAGAACATACATATATACAGAGAGAGAGAGAGAGAGAGGAATAGAAATCATTACCACTGGTAATTACAAAATTAACTTTAGCCTGCCGGTGTTTCCCCATCGATTTTCTACTGCTTAAAGCTAAGCCTAAATGACTTTATGCAAGAAATTTTCAAGTACGCAAAACAAAGGCTTAAGAAAATAATGTTAGATTACTTGAAGAGAAACAGTGAAAGAGAAAATGTATTGTGTGTTTTCGAATTCAACCAAAACAAAAAAAATGAAAAATTTATAATAATTTTCTCAATCTTATGACAAAACACGTGAGATGCTGTGTTGTTTTTCGATTCAAAATACAATGAACCCTAGTTTTATATGTTTACACTTGAAACAAAATATTATCTATCCTATACTATTACCTAAGAAATGATCACAAGGCATATGATCAATACGAATCAAGCACATATGTGACATGTGGCACGCGCCTTATGGTATGTTTGCCTAGATAATTTGTCTGATGATAATAATAATAATTATTATTATTATTATAAGATGGGTAATAATAATTATAATAATCACCATCATCAACAGTTTATATGCTTTATACGGCGGGCAATCAAATGAACTTCATGCTTTATGCATAGGCTTACAATAATAACACTAAAGCGACTAAATATCGATGTTCTAAAATCTAGAATGATCAGTCATAAATCCACAGAATTATTAGATAATTTATATAACCCCAATTCATAGGTAAGCGTAATTAATATAAGTGCTATTTGATTAGTTAGATTTGAAATAAAATGAAATTGGAAACAACTAATCAACGCACAAATCTCTTTTTGTATTGAGACACTTTTTTTACCAACGTGTTATATGACTTATTCGTCATGATAAATAAGATCTGGATTTTTTTGATGTGGTTTTGTTCTCTGAGCTGGATGGTTAGTTTGCGAAGCTTTCATCGCCCTACTGGGTGACATCTTCAGCGCATACTTCAATTTGAAGTATTATCCATCTGAGCTACAAATCTTCTCTATCATATCTAGATCTGGATTTTCAACTGTAATGTGAAATCAGTACTACTATACGAATCAGAGAATTAACGCCGTGTCACGTAGTACCCTTCAAACAAACTACACACCTTCATCAACAGCTGTCTTCACTCAATACTCAAAATCAGATGGCTGTCCAGAAAAGATCACCAACAGGGATCTCTAGGAACGAATGAACCAACCCAGCAGGAGCCAATTGTGCAACAAATAAGCATGCATGAAAAAAAGGAAGTGGATTCCCCTTACTCTGAGAAAACAAACCATCAAGTGAGTGACATCACACACCAGGCTGTCACTCCAACGGAACCCGAATGGGAAGCGGAGAGTTGGTCGTCAGTGAGAGGGTGACATGGGGGAGGAAGTGATGAGAAGAGGAGATGAAAGCATGTGGGTAGACGTGGAACCGGGTGAAAATGTTGGCGGAGAACCAAACGCAATGGAGACGTCCAGCTGAAGCCCTATGTTCCTCTAGGAACTAAAAGTAATAATAATATTTGTCAATAACCATAGAATACTTTTGCATGTTAGCTGAAAGCTAAACATAATCCACGAACCATATAAGGCTGTCACAAGTTGTTGGAATACACGAGATGTAAAGAACCAATGGATTATGTCCTTAGGCGGACGATAAAGGTCCGAGACAGATGTAGACACATCTTCATTTACCACTATTGATTAAATTATTTGCTTCCTTCTTATATAAACTTAGTTATTTCCATATTATTTAACATTTGTAAATCTAGGTTGATGCACTTTTGTACAAGTTTATCTTAGACTATTTATCAAAGTTTAAGAAACTATCATAAAAGAAATACTAAGAGTTTAATTGTGATCAGCCTGGTTCAGTTTTGACATCTCTGACTTCACAGAATAACATAGCCGAGAGATGGCAAAAACTTCAACAAAGTTAAAAACAATTCTTATCGAATGGGAAAAAACTCGTCTATTTAAGATTCTATTACCAATCGACTCATCTAAATGGACATGGAGATTTTCCAAATGGATGTGTGTCAAAGATTGATATATATGTGAACTCACGTCTAAATACGAGTTCAGAAACTGACTGACTGGCTGGTTTCAACACAGAACTTTGCACAGATGTGCAGCAGTCCGACTTACCACACTCCGTGTAGCACAAAAAGCAAGAGAAGAGAGTAAGCGGAGATTCAAGAGAGAGATAATAAACAGAAATATGAGACAAAAGGAATAGGCATAGGCTTTCCATTTGTCCGTAGGCAGCGACACCAAACGTAACAACAGAAGACAAGGGCCAGGCGAAAGATCGTTTATTAGGGAAATCAACACGTATTTATATATTTTCATGTACATCATTATAGCTTATTCAAGCAAACGAACACAGTCTTCTGATTGGTTGTTTATCACAGAAAGTTGACCTTGCATCTCTTTGTAACTGTTTCTTGAATGTCAGGTCATCTATATGTTAACTGTATCTGACTACGCCAAATCTGCTGTGGTTAGTTGCTGAATCAGTCTTGTTCATATTTTCTCACGACCAATATTTGCGACATAAACATTGACGTAAATAATTGTCTACCAATCTGGCTAGCAGCCTGCTCTCACCACAATAGCAATATGGAATAACAATAGAGTTTTATTGGACATGATAAATCACAAAGAGTCAAGGTATGTGTGCCGTTGAGAACGATTTTCAGCCATATCACGAATTGTCTCCAGCCACTGGTTTTCACCATCCCGAGGACACCAACTAGACATCAATCTACACCTTAGGGCGTGGCTTAGTGATAGGACCCTGCATAAAATAGTATATCATCCATGTGATGTGTGAATGTATCATTTCTCACGCATATTGTCGTTTAGTTTGTGATCAATTCATCGTCTTTTGTCTCACCTAGGTATTTGTCGGATCGCCAACCCATGAGAATAACCATTTCTAGCGGATAAGAACAATTCATTCTCACGGTTGTGAGTCGACTTTATTATACAATGTCTTATAGTCGCAGGCCAGCCCTCGTCTTTTGATATTTGGGCGGCTCAGTGAATCGGAAGGTACAACGGACAAATAGGCATATTAGCGTATCAGTCGAGTTCATTACTGTTATAGTAATCAACAGGTGCAGGCATAACAAAGTAGCAACGGAGTTTTTCAGTTCACTCCAGTTCAGTTATAACAAATTGGCGATGGCGTTTATCCCTTGCCATCTCAGTCATAACATTTAGAAAGAGTCAAATACATCTAATTGAATACAATGGATTTACTGTATATCTTAGTTTTCGTTCGAAAACAGCATCGAGAACTGACAAGGAGCTTGGGATCTTCCAAACACTCTAATAGTGAACTTTTTACTTTTTTTATTTTATTATTCTAACTACGAATACACTGAGAATCAACTCATTCATCTCTTGCTGGGTTCTTTTTATTACTTTATATTGAAATCTATTTCGTTGAATCTTTTCAAAGTATTGTCCATAACAAATACTTTAATACTATTTTACATCATACTTACAGCGCCAAACCCAACTTTAAGCTACTTACTTATTTTTTTTTGATGGCTTAATGATGTCTCAAATTCGGGAGCGAACCAGTACCCTTTTTTCTAAACTAATTTTCTTCTTTTTAAATAATAAAACACTGATTGGTGAACACTCGCTTTGATAATTTCCTCTTCAAGTTTTATAGTTACGTAACACATTAGTTAAGGAATGAGTCGAATATCGAACAGGTGTATATGCGACAAGTAAAATTGTTTTGCGTCGGTGGCATAGCGATTAGGACGCTCACCGACCATGCACATTGTCCGGGGTTCGATCCCCGGCCGACAAGGCACTCCTTTACCTCGCTAAGCCAGAAATAATCCTGGTAAAGAGGAAAAGTCGGGCATGAGGCTAGCAAACCCATCCTATAAAAATAAACACCACTGCTATCGAAACTTCAAGCCTCTAGCTTGTAGCCTTATGTTCCAATGGGGAACGTGAAGGAAAAAAATTGTTATTAGACTACAGTTCAAAACATGTATGCATATGGTACAACATGTGCTAATATAACACAAGTGCATATAGATGAAGAGACAGTAAAAAAAAATACATTACCAGGTCGAAGATGAGGACAGTTACTCACAGAAGAATGCATTGCGAAGTGGTCGAGCTATGTCGTGAATTGGCAGAACTTGGAATTCATGGACTGGCCATTGGATCGGGCGGGTCCCAGTGGCTTAATAGTCTACGAGCTAGCTCGTCTTGTAACCAGAAGATCCTGGGTTCGAACCCTGGAGGTGGGTGAGTACTGATGAAGAGTCCCAAACTAGGACGAAACAGTTGTCCAGTACTCCCAGGTTTTCTAATGGCACTCTAACCAATGTCAGCTCATTATGAAATCCTGTAACTTATCCATGGTAAATCGAAAACTAAGTATCAATAACCAAATACAAGCAAGCTAAGAGTTTGTGAATAATTACGGCCGAAACCTGTTAAATTCAAACAACAATAGAGCCATTTAAATTTCTTTTAAACTACAGCTACAATTGTGTTTGTGAAGCATTGATATGTTTTTAAGAATCATAGCAATGGTTAAACGGAAAAAGTAAACGTCATATTCGTTTGAATAAACTTACTTCATTCAAATTCTCATCTAAATTAAATGGCCAAGATTGGTCATCAACTGAAATACAACAACGTGGAATATGAAAAGATTTGAGTGATGAACCACGTAGAGCTGTAAAGGCTTTCATGTCTACAATATTGAACCAATAACCTAAACAAGAATAAAAGATAGAGGATTAATTACATGATATATATGCTATTAAGAATAAATCTATGGATTAGTGTTTGTACTTAAAAAAGACAGAGACATAACATGTGAAATGAGATATTTAATTTAGTTATGATCGGAATGATTTCTGCAGTTACCGTCGTATGAAGACCTTATCATCAGAATATAAACTACAGAAGGATAGGCAAGGATGTACAATTTTTGGGTTAGCCTTTTCTAAACTCCTATCCCCAAAGCTGGCAGGCAGCATACATGGCTTTGCGGACGTCTGGGCGAACATAACAGTTGTTACACTCCTCATCGTCAGCAGTACAACGTTACCGTCACACCACCAACTTAGTGTAAACGACTAACCTTATACTGGTAAGTAATTTTAATCTAAACCCTACTCAAGTGACTTTTCTATTATGGTAGGAACTGAGGCTATCTGCCAGGGATCCAGTTACGCATACTGGGATATAGAATAATAAAAACGTATAGTTAGCGCTAGGTGGGCGGGGGGTTGACAGGAGTAACTGACACGTCAAAAGACTTGACTGATAGTCCTAGTTACCAGGAAGGTGACATGCTAGTTATGTGTCGTGATTAGCACCACCGATTCCCCGCTAATTATTGGAGCTTTTTAAGGAGAAGCACCATAATCGTCACAGTCCTGTCTGTCTGTCTGTTTTCGACATAGAACTTTGCACAAATGTGCGGAAGTTCAAGTCGCCACACTCCGTGTAGCACGCGAAGCAAGAGAAGAAAGTACAAGAAAAGCATAATAGAAACAGTGAGCAGAGGTGTGAGACAAAGAAGGAGTAATAACGAAGAACAAAACAGTTTCATTGGAGATCATAAGTCACAAGGAGTGGATGCATCTGCGCCACTGAGAACGATTTTGAGCCATGTCACCAATTGTTTCCAACCATAGATTTTTACCGTCTCGTACTCATACAGCCAGGTGAGGGCTTACGGCGAGCTGTCATCTGAACTGATGACGACCAGTGGTGTCCGTCAAGGATGCCCATTATCCCCTTTTCTATTCAACTTCATCATAGATGTGTTAATGGACTTAACCCTAGGTGACTTCAGCGATTCAGGAATTGACTTGCTACCAGGGAATAATCTCGTTGACTTGGAATATGCAGACGATATAGTCCTTCTAGGCGAGGACGCTGACGAAATGCAGAGTCTTCTAAACACCTTGAGCCGCAATCTACGAATGTTTGGCATGCGATTCGCTCCCGCCAAATGCAAGATGATGTTACAGGACTGGACTACATCGACGCCTGGTTTAAAAATAGGAAGTGAAGTGGTAAAGCACGTTGACCGCTTCACTTATTTGGGAAGTACCATCAGCCCCAACGGGCTGATCTCTGACGAAATCTCAGCACGAATACAGGGGGCTCGTTTCGCATTTGCCAGTTTACGCCGACTCTGGCGTAGACGAGATGTTCCACTATCGACCAAAGGGCGGGTGTACTGCTCATCAGTCCTCTCCGTCCTCCTTTATGGTTGTGAGACCTGGCCAACTCAGAGTGGAAGACATGAAAAGACTAGCTGTCTTTGATCATAGGTGCCTGCGCTCTATTTCCCGTGTAAAGTGGCATAATAAGGTGAGCAACATTGAGGTTAGGCGTTGAGTGCTAGGTAAACAGGGGAAATCCATCGACGAAGTCGTGAAGTTACAAAGACTGAGATGGTTAGGACATGTGTTACGTATGCCAAGCCATCGCCTCCCTCGACGAGCAATGTTAGCGGATATATGGTCAGGCTGGAAAAAAGCTAGCGGCGGTCAAACAAAAACTTGGCACCAGTCAATGAAATCCACAATAGTTGGTCTAAGCCACGTAGGAAGGTGTAGACTTCCAGGCTGGGGTCCTCGGGACGGTAAAAATCTATGGTTGGAAACAATTGGTGACATGGCTCAAAATCGTTCTCAGTGGCGCAGATGCATCCACTCCTTGTGACTTATGATCTCCAATGAAACTGTTTTGTTCTTCGTTATTACTCCTTCTTTGTCTCACACCTCTGCTCACTGTTTCTATTATGCTTTTCTTGTACTTTCTTCTCTTGCTTCGCGTGCTACACGGAGTGTGGCGACTTGAACTTCCGCACATTTGTGCAAAGTTCTATGTCGAAAACAGACAGACAGACAGACCGTCCCGAGGACCCCAGCCTGGAAGTCTACACCTTCCTACGTGGCTTAGACCAACTGTTGTGGATTTCATTGACTGATGCCAAGTTTTTGTTTGACCGCCGCTAGCTTTTTTCCAGCCTGACCCTATATCCGCTAACATTGCTCGTCGAGGGAGGCGATGGCTTGGCATACGTAACACATGTCCTAACCATCTCAGTCTTTGTAACTTCACGACTTCGTCGATTGATTTCCCCTGTTTACCTAGAACTCTACGCCTAACCTCAATGTTGCTCACCTTATTATGCCACTTTACACGGGAAATAGAGCGCAGGCACCTATGATCAAAGACAGCTAGTCTTTTCATGTCTTCCACTCTCAGTGGCCAGGTCTCACAACCATAAAGGAGGACGGAGCGGACTGATGAGCAGTACACCCGCCCTTTGGTCGATAGTCGAACATCTCGTCTACGCCAGAGTCGGCGTAAACTGGCAAATGCGAAACGAGCCCCTTGTATTCGTGCTGAGATTTCGTCAGAGATCAGCCCGTTGGGGCTGATGGTACTTCCCAAATAAGTGAAGCGGTCAACGTGCTCTACCACTTCACTTCCTATTTTTAAACTAGGCGTCGATGTAGTCCAGTCCTGTAACATCATCTTGCATTTGGCGGGAGCGAATCGCATGCCAAACATTCGTAGATTGCGGCTCAAGGTGTTTAGAAGACTCTGCATTTCGTCAGCGTCTTCGCCTAGAAGGACTATATCGTCTGCATATTCCAAGTCAACGAGATTATTCCCTGGTAGCAAGTCAATCCCTGAATCGCTGAAGTCACCTAGGGTTAAGTCCATTAACACATCTATGATGAAGTTGAATAGAAAAGGGGATAATGGGCATCCTTGACGGACACCACTGGTCGTCATCAGTTCAGATGACAGCTCGCCGTAAGCCCTCACCTGGCTGTATGAGTACGAGTAGAGTGCCTTAATCAGTGCAATATATTTTCTCGGAATTCCCTTTACAGCCAAGCATCTCCAGAGAACTCCGATCGACAGAGTCGAATGCTGCCTTTAGGTCAAGAAATATAATGACTGTTGGACCCCGGTAGGAATGACTGTGTTCTAGAATCTGTTGGAGGGTGAAGATATGATCAATACACCCTCTTCCTGGTCTAAAGCCTGCCTGGCTCTCTCGTGTTTGTGGCTCCCGAGCACCACTCAGTCTACGCATGATTATTGAGCCTAAGACTTTAGATACTATATTAGTCAAGCTAATCCCTCTGTGATTATCACAGGAAGACTTGTCTCCCTTCTTGTATATCGGGATAATCAGTGACTTACACCAACCCGATGGGACTTCTTCTGATTCCCAGACGCTGCCTAGTACCTCAGTTAATCCGGACAGTAAGCTGTCTCCACCGTACTTAAATACCTCTGGAGTCATTCCATCAGGTCCCGCTGCTTTGCCTAGTTTCAGATTGGTGACAGCTTTAGTAACCTCAGTTAGGGATGGAGGACCTGTGTCTATATCCCATTCAGGGAGGTGTTGGATGCTCGGAAGGTTGAGCGTGGCTGTGGGCCAATTAAACTGCTCCTCATAATGCTCTTTCCAACGATCCAGTCGTCTATCCTGGGAGCTAATTATAGTGCCATTTTTTTCCGAGATTGTTTCACTGATGATTTGTCTTCCCCCACCCGTTTCCCTGATGAGTCTAAAGAGTTGCCTGGTGTTGCCTATCTTCGAAGCTTTCTCCATCTCTTTGGCTTTTGTCACCCACCACTTTTCACGGTCTTTGCGGAGACTTTTCGTAAGTTTCCTCTTGTGGAGCTTTCGCTCCTCATTGAATTCGGAGCTCGCCGGTATAAGTTTTCTAGCATCTATCAGTTCGGATGAGGCGGTGGAGATCCAGTGGTTTTTACTCACCTTTAGGTTTAACTTAATCACAGCTTTTACAGCTGTACCTATGGCTGCCTGGATATTTTTCCAAGGTTCTTCAGGGTGAGCACACCTGTCGAACACAGATATGTGTTCGTCACAGTCCACAATGGTGACACACTCAAATTCCGATAATTTTTCAAACAATCTATTCAGTTCCTTGACTACGGAATTATCACCATCATCTTTAAGATAAGAGTGAGCTGTCTCGGTCAAGACATAATACTCTGAACAACAAACCTTTCTGTCTTACTTTAGTTATGGAATTACTAACCGGTATAATGAAAAATGTCAACGGAACAATAGTAACAAAATGAGTATTTGCATATTGAAATGAAAATAAACAGACAGATTTGATTTAATATATACTTACATCGTAAAACAATATACCCTGAGTAAATAAAACAAATCACCATTGGCACTGTGAAGATTTGCTAGATTTTATAATCAAATTGGTCATGAAAGAAAAAGTATCAACTTACCAATCAGTGTGAAGTGTGATAATTGCTGGCATCTCCATGCCAGCATAACAAATGGGTCTGGATTAACATCATCCAGTGTTTTATACAAATTCGGTGAATAAAAAATAAGGTGTGGCGATGATGATGAAGGTAGTGATCGTGGATCTTCACGAAGTGTTTGACGATAAGGATTGTTCAAGTGATTATCAGACACAAAATCAATATTTGTTTTACTTGTTTGCGTAATATCGTCAGGAGAATTGGTCACTGGAAGAAATGCACTACTACAACAACTACTACTACTTCTGACAACAACATTATCACCACCCTCGTTGACAATACCATGCCTGAATACGGTTGATTCATTCTCTTCTCCTAGTGATACAATTGTTGATTTTGTATTGCATTCATTAGGAACAACCGCTTCACTAGATGACTTTGATGTTGATGGTGATGTTGACTGATGTGATTGTTGTTCCAGTGATACAAGTGACCTCCTCAACACCGGCATTGACGAAGATGACCCTGACGATGAAGATGATAACGGTAGGCTGGTGGAAATGGGCATTAACAAATTACCTGAGTAATAATTTTGATTACAAGCATTTTCTTCATAATCCAAGAAATCATGAGAAGAATCACAACTTAACATATCAAAATCACTCGTACTATCCAGTAGCAATGAATGATATGATGAATGGGAACTGAACATTGACTGATAGTCAGAGTCAACGCAATCATAATTATCATAGTCAATGGCAATATCAGATTTTAATAGTGTATTCACTGGCGCATTAGCTATAAATCTATAAATCGTATTATGACTGTCCGTTGTATAGTAAGAAGTATTATGTAAAATATTGCTAGAATTATTTGACATCACAGATACTGTGCTGAAAGTATCAATTAAATAGAAATGCTTTAAACTTGTAGCAAATGTATCCATTAAATATTGTACAAGATAAGATAACGGATCTGGTTTACTATAATAGATAGAAATTGAATCCAAAGGCAAAGCAGAAGGCAAAAGTCTATCTGAAAGTAATTGATTCATTTGGTTTTGTTCAACAGGTAAATGATGATGTGAATTATGATGATGATGATAGTGATGTTCTGCGCTCTCTTGTTCGTATTCTTGCTGTTGTTGTTGTTGCAATGTGTATGATGAAGATGATGATGGTGTGTGACTGGTGGAATATAACGCTGACATTGAAGAATCTACTGGCAACTGGTCATTAAGCTCTTCAGAAAAATCTGATATGAAAGACATATGTTGGTTCATTAAATTTGATCGAACTAGTAGTTTAAGATCTTTCACACAAATAAGAAATAAATTCACACGGAAGTTAGGAAGTAATTCATGTATATGTCTCCAAACTTGATTTCTATATTTTGAGAAATGGAGAAAAAAAGGTGTATTCCTATTATTTCAACAATCGCATTGACGTAGAAGCTGAAAATGTCTTTCATGGAAACGGATACTTTATGTGAAACTTTGTCGGTCAAAAACAGACACATACATATATAGGCCCCATAAAAAACTTGGTACAGTCGAGGCTTGATAGGCTTCCATCTTCCTCTCGAAATGATCCCATGTGACTACGAGTTCATGGCCGGTGCCAGCTAAATCCTATCCACTGTCTTCAAGCAACGACGGTGCCCCTCACAAACGTGAAAGGGAGAATACGAATGTCTGTCACTTACAACCGGACTGGGAGACTCGCACGTCTACTAAGGGGAGCTGGAAAACCCTGATTCCACCTGATGGTATGTATGGGCTCCAGAATTGGATTGGATAGGATGGTGTAGCCTCTTAAGGTAACCATCTGATCCAATCAGGGTTCTCGGGCAGTACAAAGTATGAAATTTTGTGTGACACACCTCCTGATGCCCATGATGTACCAAGTTTGCTTTAATAAGTAATAACAATATGCATGCAACTCGTAAGTAATCACATAGTTGCATAAGCTCAATTTGAGAGTCTTGAACAGAACAATGCACTTACTCATCTCCAATAAGTGGTATCTAATACTGCCTAGCAGTGGCATGTTGCAAGTAAAAGACAAAGACTTGACTACTTGTATTCTGAGATCTGACTAATACACTCAAAACAAGGCGTGAAAACTACATGCTTTTGTCTACTAGATTCCTAAGTCTCACTTCAATTCTTTAGATAGCGCTAACCTCCACATTACCAGTGTGGTCTATTTATAAGTCCATCAAAATGCATTTGGTTATTGAGCAGCATTTTTTAAATTTCCATCTTCGCAACTGACTACGCCAAATCCAGCTTCAGTAAATATTTCGTTGGAGTGTTAAATTTCCGTAACTTAACAACGTAGGATTTTGCACAAAAGCACATCACTGCAAGTTGTCACACTTAGGGAAAGCAGACAATAAGGTGCATGGGACAGAACATACAGCATACTATACTCGCTTTCGACGTAATGGTTTACGCTAGGAGGGAAGTAAGGTTGACGACTTTGAAGACGCTCATCAACTGACACTTAAAGGATGAATGGTTTTAACAAGAAATAGAGGTAGTCATACCAAAACTGAACACTAACCCTTGAAGCCCTAGACTGTTAGCTTGAGGTTTTAAAGAAGCCATATATTGCTTGAGGTTCTTAGGATGCTAGTACTAAATATTTTAAGACTTTTGATTTAATAGCTTAAAATCGCGTACATGCCTGCTCGTATTTACGTCTACCACCTGTGCTACTATTTCGCTTTTAGTGTCTTCTTTTCCATGAGTCTGCTCTCTCAAACTTTGACAGCTCAAACTGATTCACTTTTCAGTGAGCTTCTATGATATTTTCACACTGCTATTTAGAGATGTGATCCACCAATCCTTAGTCATACCATGCCACTGTGAGCTATATCAATAAAATATCAGCGAACAGATGCAACTAATTCATATCACAAACTATAGAGGCCAACTTACCGAATCAAAGGAAGACCTTGAATACTATTTTGTACAAAAAGTTTTAAAATACGAAGTTGACTTGCATTCTTGGTTAAAACTAAAAGTATGTCCTCCGAAAGATGTAGGTAGTTAGTAGAAAATTGGCTGAGGTTGAAAAATATAAAAGATTTTGAGTCCAAATATAACATAGATTGATTCATGTGAAATAATCTGATAATTTGTAAGGACAATAAATTATGCTTTTGGTTTGATTTCAATGATCGCAAAACACAGTTTACTTCATCCTTGTCATGAAAGCCCCCAACCCAATAAAAATGCTTTAAACACTTGGCCTTCGTAATCACTTCACACAAAGAAGTTATCATCCTGGGTAAACAAAACATAAATAAAAGATACGAGTTAGAACCAGAATAGACTTCTTATCCAAGAAACGTCGGAAAAGAACGAGGACAAAGTGTATGTTACAGAATTTGACTTTAATATAGAGAATTCAAAAAATGTAAATATGCTGAAGTTCCACGACTAAAATAAAGAAACACATACTTTTATTCTAGTAAATATTATTTCGGTATACTTCAGTGTTCCAAATCACTAGCGTGCAAACCACACTTATCATCTTAACATTATAGACACTTCAACTGCCAAAACTACTACCTTAGCTTGGAGATTAAAACCTGCGAGTCACCCACATAGCTAGAAAACAACCTTCGGCTTATATGCTTCCGTTGAGTAGGCACTTTTACGCTTAACTTACAGATGTAAAGGAAGAGTCTAAACGCTTCATCAGCTAAAGTACAATGACTTAAAAGCAAAATTATTATCTGAAGCCAATTAGAACAAACAAGGTTATCAATTAGTGGATAGTGACTAGCAGTGGAATCCAGAATGCGCATCTCGTCACATTTGGGAATCGTTAGCTGTACCTGCATTGTCCGGTGAGTGACGGTGTTCCCACTGAAGCTAAAACGCTATCCACTAGACCACTTGGGCTACGAGAACCACCTTCCGCACAACGGACATCAGTAATTATTTGATTCATTTCGGATCTTCCCGTTGATTGACTGGACCGAAGTGCTCAGCTTCAGGTTGACATGTTAGCTCCCTGTACGAATATTTCGACGATGTCTGATCAATCAACAATGGGTGGTTCTCGTGGCCCAAGCGATCTACTATATAACGCTTCGAAACTACGGGTACTGTGTTCGAGCCTCAGCGGGAACACCATCACTCACTGGGGAATGCAGGTACATCCAGATGACGAGTCATCGTCCACCAATTTACTGCAAGTTAAATAGCCAAACATTGTCGAAGCATTTGTCCTAGGGGCCAAGCACTTGGGTTCAAACAACAGGAAACTTCACACTAAATTAAACGAAGTAGTGGCTTCAAAACAATCAACACTTTATTCTGGTTCAATATTTTAATCTGAGTTAAGTGTATCCCCAATAGCAGAGAAGTTTCAAGCTGTGAGAGATAAGGAATATTCAATGGAAATGCAATCTGTACTTAGGATATACTTAAATGAACAATATTCCCTATTGATCTACTCTGAAGAATCTTTACTTGCCTGTTTTGCATTACTTCTGTAGTGATTTCCTACATGAGGGCTATAAAAGACACTTGCCAGTTTTGGATTTCCTTATTCATGGTACTATCTGGTTGTAATTACATTGTAAAACAGACTCGTAAAGGAAGCACCAAAATCGAGGTTATCCCCTAAAAGTTGATTTCCTACCAATTAAGTCACTCGAATGAATTTACGCTATCAATTAAACAGCAGTTTATAAGCTTTTGAAATACGGTAATATTTTTAGATAGCGAATCCATTCAGAAGTGTATTGGTTTAACTCGTTTACCAGGAAAACTTAAATCTCTATTAAAAGATTTAGCACCAACACACACTGAACCAGGTCCTAATCTCAGAGAAACCAATAAAATGATGGCATCAGGAGAAAACAGTCAAAAATGATGACAACGTTCATTATATCCCTCAAATATCAACAAACTTTGACGTTTACCAATTACCGGGACTGATTTCTTACTTTTTAGGAATTCTGTCCCGGATACCAGCAACACACTCAGAGTATGGCTCATTTACGGTAGGTCGCAATGAAATGGAATGTAACATGATGTTTGAACACAATGAATTCAAAACTGCTTCTACAATAGCCAGGTGGGACTCGTCAAATGGATTAAATTCCAACTTGATCTCTGAACATATTTTTATAGGTATAATCGGATTCTTGAAAGCTTCAAATTTTGGAAAATTAGAAGGAAATATACGTATTTTTTTCCATAAAGATCTATTGGCAAATACGACGTCCCGCCAGTGCTTGCATACAGTTGACGACAGAATGCAATCATCACCTAAGTATTCGTATATTCGTTTTACTATGTGATAAGGCAAATTGCTCCAAGTCTGATAAGACGAGTCCACTGCCATACGAACTATCCGCAAGCCATTTGACAGAAAGACTCGACCTAGAGAAGAAAGCCAACGGTCTAAACAAACAACTCATTCAAAAAGTGTAATAAATAACATGTCTGTTTACATGCTCGAGGAACATTAATTTTCGTAGGTGAAGACTTTATTACGATCTCATCAAATACCTCATTATTTAAACGTGTTACCTCCCTTCGAACTCTTTCCGAGAGGATTGCACATGTCAGATGAGGATGGCTTTATTGCATATCTCCGCTAAATGTAGCACCACTGTCCATTGCTATCGTGATTTAATGACAGGTTATGATTCTTACGTGCCTTTTAAATGATATTCAGCACTAAGATATTTTCCAGAAATACATGACTTGGCGGCATAATGTACTTCAACTGCGTTACATTTTCAGCGCTTGTATAAGAAACTCTGGCTTCGTACTGATTTCTGAACAATTTAATGGACTAAAGGAGGCAGTAAATTAAAAATTCGACCACATATATATACCTTTTTATGACTTTATTCTAGTGTATTTGGCATATTTAATGAAATACTACTCTCTTCACTGCTGTGATAATTGTTTGCACTCATCTCATGATTTCAGCATCAAATTTTTTCCTTTACTCAACACAGTTAGCTTCTCATTTCAAGACACAAAACATTGGCGCTATGATCACGCCATGTAGCGATAAGTTAGTTACCATGATGCCTGCAGCATAGATGGTGTAGCGGTAAATAAATCCCCAAAATTATTGCCCACAGCAATCACTCATCATTGGATGTTCACCACCACTGTTTAGGTCTACTTATTTAGCTGAAGGCTTCCGGTCAAGCATCCCCGCCATTTGGTACCCCGTCGTGTCACGTGCACGATCACTAGCTAGCTAAGCGTTCGTCTGAAGGCTTGTTTTGGTCCCGAAATATATCACGAAGTTTGGACGATCAATTATTGGCTTTTGCTTTGTTTTCGGTACGCGAGAATAATTTAGAGGTTGTGTAAGATAATCCCGTAAACCTCTATAAACTGGTGAGCCCAACCGCGAACTTCATCCACGATAAATCCGCAGATAACCCCGGTGAGTTCGTTCCATTTTGTATTTGTTCTTGTACCATATATTATTCGACATAATTTTCGTCATGAGTGATCTTAGTCCCAAGGTCATTCGTATCCGCTCAACTCCTAAAACCATTCAGCTCGTACCATACTGGCCAGATAATGCTGAAACGTGGTTTCTGCTAGCTGAAGCAGATTTTTGTGAGCATGGGATAACCGATCAACGTTCACAGTTACTTGCAGTTATTCACGCCCTACCGCGGGAATTCAGCAAGTACGTAACATCACAGATGTTCAGTCCCGAGGTAAGTAACTCGTACGAGTTGCTCAAAGCATCCCTCCTCAGGAGAAACGTTCTCACGGACCGACAACGTCTAGATGAATTATTTCGTAACATCGAGTTAGGAGATCAGTCAGCCGTGAGCATGCTGACAAGAATGAGAGAAATTGTTGGCCAAAGTCAGTTCGACGAAGGACTATTTAGAGAACTCTTCTTAACCAAGCTGCCACAGTCTGTACAGACCGTACTTGTGACACTTCAGGGTACTGTAATAGAGGACTTAGCTATTACTGCAGATAGGATTCTAGAAATAACTAAACGGTCAGTTCCCGAAATATGCTCGATGACTAAGCAGACTTCGAGTAAGGATCCTGCAATGATAGAGTTATGCAACTCCATCCAGCAGATGTTTAGGTCGAACATGCATTCTAACTCCTCCGACCGTCGTCCTAAATCTCCTCAACGCAGGAACTCACGTGGTCGATCTAAGTCCAAACCACGTTCACTGAAAAACCCTGACTGGTGCTGGTACCACAACACCTATGGCCAAGAAGCGAAGTGTTGCCGTAAGCCTTGTAACTTCGGAAATGTGGGAAACTATCCCGCCGGCACGCGTTAGCGGCAACCGTCGCCGGTGGCACTAGCCGCCTACTTTACATCCATGATGTGATAAGCCAGACTCGATACTTAGTCGACACAGGCGCCGAAGTCAGCGTCCTTCCTGCTACAGCAGCAGATCGACAGAAGGAACCTACCTTCAACTTACAGGCTGCAAATGGAAAACCAATCGCAACCTTTGGTAGGAAATACGTCTATCTGAACGTAGGTTTACGCAAACCTATTCGATGGATTTTCCTTCTCGCTGACGTTACAATGCCCATCATTGGCACGGACCTACTTAATCATCATGATTTACTCGTAGACGTCCGCCGAAAACGACTGATTGACAATACTACTAGTCTGTCTATCAAAGGCATCAGCTACATAGGCCCTAGTTTGTCACCCGTTAAGATAAAGGCAATCCTTGATCCAACTTTTCAACCTATTGTTGACAAGTATCCGGAACTTAACTGCCCGTCGAACGACCTACCGTGCATAACCAGCAATGTTATGCACCACATCATTACCACAGGACAACCTGTGACATCTAAAGCACGACGATTAGCTCCTGACAAACTGAGAATCGCCAGGAATGAATTTGACCATATGCTTACCCTTGGCATCATTCGACCTTCGAATAGCCCATGGGCATCCCCACTTCATATGGTTCCGAAAAAGGATAGCAATGATTGGCGACCCACCGGTGATTACCGGCGAGTGAATGCCAAAACAACCCCTGATTGCTACCCGTTGCCTCATATACACGACTTGACGGCAACCTTATCGGCGCGACTATATTCTCCAAAATCGACTTGGTTAAAGCGTATAACCAAATCCCGATGGCAACAGAAGATATCCCGAAAACGGCTATCATTACGCCTTTCGGACTTTTTGAATTTCTACGTATGCCATTCGGTCTCCGGAATGCAGCCCAAACATTCCAACGCTTCATTGACGAAGTATTTCGCGGTCTCGACTTTGTATACGCATACTTAGACGACTGCCTCATTGCCAGTCCAGACAAGGAAACTCACCTTAGACATTTGGACTTGGCATTTGAAAGGTTACGCCAACATGGTGTTACCATTAATATTCAAAAGTGTCAAATCGGTGTTGACTCACTCGACTTTCTGGGTCACACTATTGACTGCAAGGGCATTCGCCCACTGGCTACTAAGGTCGAGGCTATACTGAACTTTCCAGAGCCACAGACGGTGAAAAGTCTCCGCACTTTTAACGGCTTAGTAAGTTATTATCGACGCTTTATTCCCAACTGTGCCTCTCTGATTCAGCCATTGACAGACCTCCTTCGAGGGAATAACAAGTCCATAGAACTTGACGCGTCTGCTCGAAATGCTTTTACCCAGGTTAAAAAAGCTATTGCGAATGCCACACTTCTGATGTATCAGGATCCAACGGCACCGTTAAGTATCTCGGTTGATGCATCAAACACTGCAATCGGCGCAGTTCTACAACAGCTAGTTGGCAAAGAGTGGCAACCACTCGCCTTTTTCTCAGGCGCCTTCAATTAGCTGAAACGAAGTACAGCACATTCGGCAGAGAACTTCTGGCTATGTACTGTGCTATACGTCATTTTCGACATTCAGTAGAGGGTCGTGAATTCATAATTTTGCTGATCACAAACCTCTGACGTACTCTCTGAACTCACCTTCATATAACTATTCACCTAGGGAATCACGACAAGTGGATTACGTTTCACAGTTTACATCAGATATTCGCCATGTATCCGGAGTAAACAACACTTTGGCAGATACCTTGTCGTGCGTTTGTTCCCTCACCCAAATCGATGGCATATACCTTGTAAAACTGGCTCGTCTTCAAAAAGAAGATACCGAGCTTCAACACTAGTTATCGAAAGCAACTCTATAATTAACTGAGAAACCTTAGGTATGGGAAAAGATACTATTCTATGCGACATTTCCACGAGTACTCCTCGCCCCATCGTGCCTAAAAATTATCCCCGCAACGGCTTCAATACGGTGCATGGTTTATGCCACCCAGGTATTCGAACTACTCTCAAGCTCGCAACTAGTCGGTTTTGTTGGCCTGGTATTAATAAAGAAGTAAGGGAATGGGCACACACGTGCATAGCTTGTCAAAAGTGGGAGGTAATAAGACACTCCCAAAGTCCACTTGGCACATTTCTTCTCCCTGACGCTCGTTTTGAACACGTCCATATAGATTTGGTTGGACCCCCTTGTCAGCCACGTCTCGTAAACCGTTAATGCCCAGCTCTTGCTACGCTCCGGCCCACGCTGTTTCTTGAAGTTTCTCAGAAACGCTTAGCAATAACGGACGAAAAAACCAAAACACCGATTGGCCACTCGAGAATTCTTTATTGTAACACCAACATATAAATCACGTATGACTAAGGTCTGTGAACAAATATTACAATAATAAATCACAATATTACTTCTGACGGTTTTTTTGCTGACTTCTTTCTGAACAGCGACCGATGAGACGATGACTGTCGTATTGATGCCTCCGCGAAAATTGGGGAAGTTGGTTTTGAGCAAACAACCATGAATTGATCGTTCAATCTTCAACTGCATTGACACTCCCCGGCGAAAAATATATCCATCCCTTTCTTCCATCACGACCAATACACGTTGACTTGGATGCCATTGCGAGAACCTGGGTCACACGGACAGAGCTGAAATGGAAAACAAACAGAAAAGCCAACACACCACAAGCATACCCACAGCACAATCTCACACATCAATGACGACCTGCGCCTCCAGATAAAGGTATCCACTTGACATCTTGCAAGACAATCGCCACTTGCTGGAATGACTCTTGCAGAATGCAACGTGACCATAGCATCACCTCATGATACTCCACGCACATCCTCTTATCTACTCACCACCAATTACCACTGCAATCGCTTGTCACTCATTCTGCCTCAGTTCTAGTAACGATGACGCATGCGAGCCTCAGTCGTTTACACTCTTTCTCCCCGGCGTGTCAGACCGCAGCTAACAGTTATCTCCGTGTGCATTTCATTCTTAGCAATAGCCTAGCCTCCCCGGCGTATATGCCCCATCTGCTGTCCTTAACATCAATCAATTCATTCACGGATGTAGAAGAGTGGACACAACTTCAGAAGTAATCGCGACGAAAATTTTAACAAAATTATGCAATAAAAACAAGGTACGAAAACAACGAGTAAACACAATGAATCCAAGAAAAACCAAATGATATGACACACCACACATATATACAAACAGTACACACAAACTCGCACATCGTGTCTCGATGGAATTCCTTTGAAGA